TCAACTCTAACTTGGGGTTTGTGCCTGACAATTGGCTTGTCTGTTCTTAATTAATTAGACTAAATTCGCAGTTTTCATTTTTATCAGTTTCATTACTTCATAAGCCAGAGACGTCGTCTTAAATAAAGGCATATATACATCTTTTCATCTGATATTAATACTCTGATCTGATATTAAATCTGCGAAAATACTGAGTGCAAGTATCTTTTGTGTTACTTAGCGCCTTTGTTAATGTGATCAATAGCAATAATGAATTTCCCCTACATTTCCTGCTCTGTACGATTTGCTTAGATGCTACCAATAAAGGGGGCCTTGTCAGTGTTCGAGCAGTAGGAGACTGTTGAATACAGATAGTTCTTCCTAGCTTCGAATCTAGGCAGATGGATGATTGTTTTTCATGAAAATGTCGTTTCTAATAACATTTTGTTTTGTAAGGGTAGGTTATTTAATTACGGCAAAGCCTCGAGGGCTCTCTGCCTAAGGGGAGGGATACCTTCGTGGAAGGCTTTTAAGGAAAACTGGCTCGTATACACGTTACACAGGGAAAAACCACGAAACACCCATGCAGCCAGCCCGTTCGCGGGATTCGAACCTCGGACCGAACTACCGGTGTTCAGCGACTTTACCTCTCGGCCGCTGGTGGGCCTGTGTTGTAAGGTATAAAGAAGATAATTATTCTTCCAAATTCAGATGAAATGGGGCTTTAAACGGTTTGTTTTACTTTTGTTTATTTAATTGTGGCAAAGCACTCGAGGGCTATCTGCTTTATGGCTTTGAGTAGACATTGCTAAAACTTTAAGGCCGGTTTATTTATGCTCCAATGTATGTTATTTTGAAAATAAAACAACCACCAAATCACGTACTTGTAATTTATGTAGCACTTTTTAGGGTTCTTTTAAAATTCAACTGAGTTCAGTTTTGCGAACGTTCTTTCAATCCGTATGAGTTATTCTTTACAATTTAAATTTTGCTTTAAAAATTCTTTTTTATGAGTTCTTTACGCAAAATTTCAGCAATAATATTGCTTTCACGTAAGTATACTACTACTACTGTTATTGTTTTTAATAATATAGACTTTTGAACTCAGTTTGAAACATTTTTTCTTCCGATTAAACTTTTACTCACAGGAAAGACAACTTGCTTGCAATCCATGCGATTAAGATTAAAACTTTTCCTTTAAATGTACGTGATTAAAAGAATTTTATTATCTGCTGACACTCTCGATAAGAAGACGATTGAAAAGCTTAAATATTCCATTTGATATGGGGAATTTATTCTTCTTGATATATTTTTGTTTTTTTTTTGACATTTTTATTTGATTATCTCTTTTCCAATTTCTTTTTTCTTTTTTAGAACTACCATTACAATTCTCTAGTTGTGTGAAATTTGTAAAATCAAATATTGAATAAATTGTATTGAAAAGGATAAGATACGTATTATATTTCCGGAATTAACGTTTTCCATCATGGTTAAATTATTAATTCTTTAATATATACTTATGCACATATTAAAGCGTAAAGTTTTGATGTTGTTGATGTTAAGCGTAAAGTTTGATGATTTTTTGCATGAATTTGTTTAATTAAAAATCATTTTCATCAACCTTAAAATAAAAGTGTTTTTAATGACGATGAAAATGCATTTAACACTAACAAAATTCTGAGACGTAAAATTCATTTTGATCCCTAATTCGATTGGCTAATAGATGTAAATAAACAAGATTCTTCGTTGAGTGCTCTTCAAAATCATCAATAATGGGTTCAAATTTAAAAGTTAATACAAATATAAATAAAAGAGATGTATCGTGTAAGAATGTTAGTGTAATGTGAAAGACAATGATATGTAATGAAAGTTGTGATATACTTTATATTACAAGAAAAATAAAAAGGAAAGTAAAATATGAAAATGAAATTTTACACTTAACTTTAGAATTAAATGTTGCTTTAAAACCTTCAACTCAGAACAAACGCTACTAGAATTTTAGAATTCTCAGTTTGGAGCAGTAAATTTTCTTTCTGAGCTAGTATTAAGATAGGTTACAGATGACTGTTTTTAAGGAAAAGAAAAATTTTGGAGCAGTAAATTTTCTTTCTGAGCTAGTATCAAGATAGGTTACAGATGACTGTTTTTAAGGAAAAGAATTATAAACTTTATTGAAATCTTAAATAACAAAGTTCGTTTTAAACGTCCCCATGATACATAAACCAGAGCGATATAATCTGCAGATCTCAGTAGTCATGATCTTATATATGGCTCCAACATCTTTATGATGGAATAATGCAATAATGCCATTTCGTGTTGATTTGTTGTATGTAAAAGTGATATTCATTCTTCTGCAGTAAGGCAATGAACTGCGAGACAGTACCGTAGTAGGTCCCAGCAAGTATCCAACTGTTACTAAAAACAACAACAACAACAACAAAACAAAAAAAACAGGAGGCTTGATAATTCTTCGTCTTCATACCAGATAATTCTCACGAAATGAGGAGGAAACCAGATAAATGGTGCAAATTTATCTGGTTAACTGATGCAAATTTTCAGGGCTCCATTTTTGGTAATATGGGCCACAGACATATCCACTTCCATAAATTCATGCTTCATCTGGGAAAAACCATCTGAACTAAAATGGAAATTTCGCCATGAATAAAGCTATTTCAAAGCTACAGAGAGAGATGCGATACAGAGTATGACAGTTTAACACCTGTTTCCTGAAAAAGATTTGTAATATCGCCTTTTGCTTCCAAAGAACTCATGTTTCTCACTAACAGATTTGTTTATGAGCCTGTTGGTGTGATAATGCAGAATTGAAGGACCACTACAAACTAAATTTGTATAAAATTATGGAACTTTGAACGTGCCGTCCGCTTTTAAACTGAATACCCTGTAATTTTGCAGAGAACTTTTAAAAGTCAAAATAGTACATTGTAGGGCTTTTATATTTATTTAGTAGTTATTTATCAATTTAGCATTACTTTGTGGAGTCATAATGTTTTTATTTCGAAACCAGGAAGCCAAATAAATCCGCAGTGCTCTCGCAGGGACTCGAGCTCCGGAGCTTCCGATGTTAGCCGGACGTGCTTTCCAGTTATACCACGAAGGCATGAGGTAAGGAGACGTAGAAACCTTACAACTTTGCTTCTACTCTCGTCGGCTCCCACCTATATGCAAATCAGATAACGCATTTAAGTACACAGTTCTTGAATTCAGGAGAGAGCTTTCGGCAGCTATCACTGACCGTGTCACTATTATCTATACCCACTGATTGTATTTTCTTGTTTTCTTGAAAACTGAGGAACTTTTTTTCTGTTATTTTACATAAGCTGTGTAACATCCAGGTTGACGACTGAATAAAAAGTTTACTTTAAACGAGCTTCTAAACTGGAATTGTTTAGCTCCAACTCACATGAAGTTAAAGACGAGATGATAATTCGTTTGACTGTCTTTATAGGTCCTAGAGTTAATATTTAAAGTAATTGGATCCGTATAATGTTACGAACTGTGCATCGTCTATGCACTTCTCAAAATATTTCATTTAGTAATTATTAGAAACTTTCGTGTCTAGTAATTATCAGATAAAAGAAACTCCTCCTTCTGATCCTCTGTCAGAAAATGTCTGCCTTCTACATAAGGGCCCACGAGCGGACGAATGGTAAAAACCGCTCAACTTATTCCACTCGAGTTCAAATACCGGTAGACGGTTTGGCTTCCTTCATAAATGTATAGGGTGAATACGAGCCAGCTTTCCTTAAAAAGTCTTCCATGAAGGTATCCCTTCTCTCAAAAGCTCTGCAAAATCTAAATTATGCTAATCCTTCTGCGACGAAAGCAAATTTTTTTCCCTTCATATTCTATTTAGGAAATTCTATTTTGGAAATCTTTTCGTCAATGCAGAAATTTATTTTTTGAAGAAAACTGTTTGATAGGTTTACTTTTATTTCAACGTCCTTCGCCTATCTGTTTAAAAGTAAAGTCTTAATGTTTTGTTACATTGTTTTTCTAAATATGATTCATTAATATGAACTTTACCTTTTCTATGTTACTTGGAACTGAACACTGGAATTATTTTTTAATATCCGTCGCACTGACATTAATCATGTGAATAAAAATATGCGAAGAAAGCTGAAATTTTATTTGAAAGGAAACAGTATTTATGTACGCGTGTTTTTGCTGAATAAAGCGTTGAAATATATTAGTACTTGAGCAAGCTAAGCATCCACCTATAGCTGTAAAGTTTCAAAAACACTAATTAATCTGAGTATTATAAATGTATAACAGATTAGGGAGATTTTTTAATTCAATTTAATGAAAATTAAATTTTAAATTAGAATGTTTTGGTAGTATTAGAAATCAGGATGTGTGTATGAGAAAAATATTCCTTTTGGTAAACGAGAAATGAATTACTATAAAAAACTCTTTACTCTGGCAACACCAAACCAGGATCAAATACGAATTACAAGGCTATTATGACTACTAACAAAGACTCTGCCTATATCGCTTTACTATTCTATTTACTGTCTGTTAATAAACAGTTACAAAGTTACCTTTCACTCTTTTCTTAAAACTCTGATAACAATATTTCTGTATTTCTAGGGGAAATTTTAAAGCTATTAATATGGCGTAGTTTTTCCCAATATATGACGAATAAAGTTTTTGGTAATGCAAGCTCAAAATATCGTGTTTGATATTGTTTTGAGTATTATTGACACAAAACCGATAAAATTCTGGAATTATTATGCAAGTCAGGCTTTCAAAATAGTGTATGTCGTTTACGTTTTTAAAGCAAATCAAATTATTGCAAAACAAATCATAATTAAATATAGATATCTATTGCACACTACAAAGAACAATGCATTGTACTGGGGGGGCTAGAATAGTCGCAAGAAATTATCAGTGGAGTCCAAGAAAGAGATTTCGCAACTCTACCTAGATAACAATGATCCTTATATATGACCAGCTTTCCCCCAAAAGCAAAAGTTGTGATACCTAATCTTCTGAAATGAACTTCCTGGCGAACTTCGGATACTCGACGTCACGTAGCCGTTAGACGAGAACATCAAACATTCACTAAATCATTACTGTACTTCTCTGTGACCGTTAGTCATAGAATCACAATGTTTGAAGCCTATTCTAGTGACGTTGCTTGGATCGTAACTCTTGGTTTTATAATTGCGTTCTTCCTGGCTTTTGGTGTGGGAGCAAATGATGTCGCTAATTCTTTCGGGACATCTGTGGGATCAAAAGTGCTGACATTACGTCAAGCTTGTATTTTGGCAACAATTTTTGAAATTCTTGGAGCACTTCTTATGGGTATGAGAAATCTCCTACTGATCCCCCTATTTAAACCTAGTATCATTAATGTTCTATTTCTTAATATGGTGTTTAAAGAAATCTCATTTCTGTATTTATTTACATAACTATTTCTTTTTTTTCTTTTCATCATTTTTTTATTTTTTTATAATAATATATTTTAGTTTTACCAAAATAGTAATGATTTTCATAACACGCAGATTTTTCTTTAAGGAAAATATAGATACCTCTCTTTATGTTATCACATATCTTGATTTTTATGATAATTGTCCTGTGATCCAGCTCTAACATAAAAACAAATAGCTTATAATTTCATAATATATGTTTTTTAATTATTAAAGCACACATATTGAACAGAGAAATGCTTCTTGTATTTATTGAACGTATAATTTATTTTTCTGAATAAAAAATTAAATAAAAATACTTTAAGTACTTGTAATATTTTGTTTCCTATAACCTAGCTAAAAATAGAGAACTCATTATATATAGCAATATAATAAATAATCGTTTTTTCATGTATGAATAAAATTGTTAAAACTGGAAAGAGCGAAGTAACTATATATATAATGAGTTCTCTATATACTTTAACGGGGCTATATCAGAAAATTATTCTAAATTCTTGAAACAGTTTTTGTTATTATAAATGTCTACTAAAGGAAAAGTGTAGAATTAGCTTTTTTGAAACTATTATTGAAGAAATAAATAATCAAATGTAAATAGTTTGATGAAATATTTTCCGTCTTTAAGTTCTGCACAGAATTCCAAAATCTCTTACAAATACGTTCGAAGAGCCTGATATGTCTTCTGGCATTTCTCAAATTTCGTAACTTTTCCAAATATGCATGCTGCAAACTGTGAAATTCAATAATAAATAATAATTCAATAATGAATAAGAATAATCATTCTCTCTAGTTGTTATAAGTAAGAATTGGCCATGTTTGACTTCATATTGAATAAACACTTTTCGGATACTATACTTTACTACATTTGCCTTCGTAACAAATTCTCTGATAACAAATTACGAATCACTATGAATACCAAGTAATTAGTTAAAGAAGTGTTATATTATAATGTAGTAATAACCTGGATATTAATCTCATACATAAGTAAATAACCTGGATATTAATCTCATACATGAAAATCTTCGGTAATTGAAACAGCTGACAGCTTCAAAAAATAGGAAAAAAAAAAATAAAAATCGTAACATTTTCCGTTTTCTTAAAAACTCCAATTTAATAGCATTTACATATGCATATGAAAGTGCTGTGTATGTATGGCACATACGTATATATACACAAATACACTTCCGAATTTTCTATCGCAGGAGTGTTTGCTTGTGTGTGTAGGTTTGTAGGCTCTTCATAATATAATTCCTTTCAGAAATTTACGCTATCGAACAAACTTGCACGTTATATGATTTACACTATCGTATAAGCGTATGTCAATCCTTTGTGTACAAACAAACGTTTTTGCATATTAATTACGTGTGGCCTCACTTTAGACATATCTAGCATCAAATGTTGATTTTATCAACTTTCTTACATCTGCCTTTTGTTATCTTTATTTGTCCCTAATTCTGACTCTGCACGATGTTCCTTCTAACTGCTATACTGAAATATTTTATCTGTTACCTTCTCGAACTGTGCTTCCACTCTTACGTTTAAATGAGAAGGTACGTACTCTTATTTCATCATTTTATCCTACCCTTTAATGTGTACAGTTTTACATGCCTAGCATACATCTGTATTAATCGGTTTCAGACATGTATTGCAAATACGTATAATTCATTTTCCTGTTAATATCTTGTCTCAATGCAGTTAACACCTGAAAGAAAGTCTTACTTTTGCTCCACTCGATTAAAATCCCGTCCCCTTAAAATAAGTTGTTCTCGCCTTGCTGAGATTGTTAAGTTTTATATTTTAGCAGAAAACATATGGAAACAACTGAGCCCTCACTAAGGTTCAAATTCTAAATTTTTTACTTGCCAGTTGGACATGCTGCCACTTACGCTACCACAGCACGCATAGGAGAATGCGATAATTCCTTACATTTTCATCTTAAAAGGCCATAAAGGGAAGGCAGGAAACTCAGTCAACTAAATTCAGATACTGATGTATTATCGGCAACCACATTTTATTTTGGACGCCAGTGTACAGAATATTAGTTTTTTTTTCAAAGCAGGAAACAGGAGAAATCAGTTGGTCTATAAGGTATTTCTTTCGCCTTCGTGTGTAGTGGTTCTGCACGCTGGGGCGGTATTCCAGAGGTCCGTGGTTCGATTCCCGGCGAAGGCGTTGCTAATTTTTCATCTCTTCTGCTTCAAAAAAAAAAAAAAAAAACCTAATGTCTCAACAGCGGCGCCCGAATTGAAAGGGTGTTGGATAATGATTCTCCTCACCCAGGATTTGGCGATTGGGTCCCTTAAAAACCCCAGCCGCCTTTTAAAAGGGGGAGTATATAAGGTATTTCCCCCGCCTTCCTAGCGTGCGTTCGTGGTTTATTGCTTTGCACACTGGGTCGGTATTTCAGAGGTCCATGGTTCGATTCCCGGCGAAGGCGTTGCTAATTTTTCATCTTGTCTGCTTCCAAAAAATACCTAATGTCTCTACAGATCTTTCATCGAGATTCAAAATAAGGATCTTCCAATTTACAGCTGAGTTTGGGCTGGACACTTACTTCACAAGAGCTCATGAATGCTTGGAATGTGATAGTTCCTTATAACTGCACACACCATAAAGTCTTTGATTTATCTGCTGGTCTACATCCATGCGCTATAAGATCTATGGTTTCTACGATAATTGAGTGGAGTAGAAATGGCGCTTTCTGTATCAGGGTTACTGTAATTAGCTATCTGAGCAATCGGTCCACCGTTTGAACACGTTCTGAGAAAATTGTGTTCCAAAGCATGTATTCAAGCATTCAAACCAAAACTGCATGTGAGAATCGATGAATAGGAAGTGATATGATTCCTATGTAAAGCGCTGGGAATTGAAGGTTTTTCATTAACATTTTAAACCGTATTCCTTTTCAGTGTAATTTAAGAACAATGTATTTTTCTTAAAATATATGTTGGTACATTTTCGATGACGAAATTGATTCTGTTTTTCGTTTACTTTTCAGAATATTACTATTATATATTCTGATTCATGTTGATTTTACTCAACAGCCTTGAATCTGTTATACTGCATTTTGTTTCGTTTTTTTGTAAAATTAAGCTTTTAAATGGTTTATCAGCAATTGCTTGTTGTTTTTTTTTTTTTTTTTTTTTTTTTTTTTTTTGTGAATTTTAACTATAGTAGATAATATTTTAGGAAATTTCCTAGCATCAATTTATTTTTCTTTCCAAACTCAACACGGCTCACTAGTTTATAGTTTCAAAATGAGCTGTTTTTACTTTAATATTACTCTCTGAACAATTACCATATTAAATTTTATTTCTTAATGGCTTGTAAACTTTCATGAGCATTTTTATAAGTCTCAATTACAGCATTTGATAATTTAGAAAAATGCGAAGGGCTCTTTGCGTTTTTAAATCTTCTGCCCTGTTTTCAAATTAATGAACCTCATGTAGATAACTATCTTACAACTCCAAAGTGTGAGAATTTCATTTTACTTTTGTTTGGAAGTTAAAGCTGTCTGTTTTTGAGCTTGCTTAAGTTTCAGCTTCACTAAAGTTTACATTTACTGATGATTTCTGAATTCATATTTCCAAAATTTTATTTTCTAAGCTACAGCTGCTATACAGAGGTTTTAGGAAATTTTCTAATATTAATCAGCTTGTTCCTTTGTAGATTTTGTGTTTTGAAATATTTTAAAGCTAAAAGGATTGACTAATTTTACTTCATTTCGGTTTGGGGGGAGAGAGGAAGAAAACTTTTTCTGAATAAGTGTTTTTATGTGTATACATTTGCTACCCTATCTCCTCGCCTAGTTGAGATGTTGTTCGAGGTTATATAATCATCAGCATCGCATTCTTTTTTAATGGGTTGTTACGTTCAAAGTGTACATTTGCTTTATTCTAAATTACTTATGTTTTTGATTGTTTAGTGTTTTTTTTTACTTTTAACTGAACTGCTGTCTATTTTCTGTTCCCAGTTTCTTAAATAAGACTTTCTAAATAACTAAAATATTCGCAAAAAGTACTTAGCTTACTAGTATAAGGGAGAAAATGGTGAATGCATAACATAAATATTATTATCAAGATTAATGTAATAATATGATATATAATGTATATATCATATTATTATAAGAATGTATAACTTCTTATATCAATTCAACTGCAATAAAGAGCAATTTTAAGGCTTTAAAAATAAATTATATTATTTTACTATAAAAGAGTGAATACTAGAATTAATCTTAGGAGTATCTTTCAGCGATTTGATAACCTAATAATCGAAGTTTCAGCTGACAAGAGCTCAAAATGGAACTCGAAGCATATTAAACTAAAAATTTTAGCTGAAACATTTACTACAGTAAAACACGTAGGTTGTTTTCAAAGTTTTAGGAACTGAGTTTTAGTTCCGTTCTTAGAATTTAGTGGCAAAGCTATCGGCCAGAGACATCTCTTTACGTATTTAAGCAGGTATCTCCTGCACTACTGTTTAGTCCCATTTATTTGTTTGATTAGTACAGGCGCATTTTGTAGCACTGTTTTTGCAACCATATAAGATGCAAATGATTTTATTTTTGTGAAAAGAAAGTGTAAAAACGTCAGAAATTGTTCAACTTCTGCGAGCATTATTCTGCCCCCCCCCCATGTAAAAGAAACCTTTACAGGGTGTTCGATTTTAGGGTTTCAACCATGCCATAAATAGGTGGGTTGAGGAGCCACCGAAAACAAACGTTTTCATAGGAATAAGGACGTTCAATTAAATAGAAATTATTTTAAAACACTGCATTCTAACACTGATGAAAACCGACCAAATAAAAAAAAAAAAAAATACTTAAAATCCCGGAACTTTGGAAACATGCCTCGTAGCTGCTGTCATAATCGCCGCCGA